ACCCCCCCTCTCTCTCTCTCTCTCTCTCTCTCTATATATATATATATATAATTATTGTTTTTATTATTATTGGTGTAACAGTAGGATATTTCTTAACTTCCATGTGGTATTCCAAGGCTGTGCAGTTAAGCCAATAATAATAATAATAATCATTATTATTATTAGGGGTTCAAGCATGCAGTGCTGAAACCCTATTGTAATTGTTAGGATTTTTATTATTATTATTCCCTAAAACTGATCGTGCAGCCCAAACCGTAAGGCCTTGGAACTTGGTCAAAAGGTAGTAGTCATGCTCGCTACTCGGGCGCAAAGAGCCGGTTTTACACCATTGCGATCCTTGGGTCAACACGAACAAAAGTGTAGTAAGACAGATTTTCTCTACGACGCACGGTTTTTCCGTAAAATTGACCTATATCCCAAATCTACTTTTGCGAACTAGTCCTAGGTTTTTCGCCTGATCGGAACCAAACCACTGCAAAAATATTCGAAGGACATTGAATATCAATAATTATAAAAATAAAGTTGAAATTTCGATTTTTGTGCGAAACAGTTCGCCAAAAAGCGTCTATGCTAACGTTAGCCAAATATTATTTGAAGCATAACTCTTGAACGGAATGAGATATCTTCACCAAACTCAGTACACATATGTATGAGCTCAATCTTTGGTAAAAAAAAAAATTGCGCAGCTCTGCCACTTGGGGGCGCTATAAGACAGAAAAAACATAAATTCAGCTATAACTAGGCAACCGTTGGTCTGATCGACTTGAAAATTGGTATGCAGCGTCTTGGTCCAACGTGGCACAAGTGTCTATGAGGATATTTGCATATCTCAAAAAACATGGCCGCCATTGGCCAAACAAGTTTAAGCACCTATTAAACAAGGTTAACGGAGGTCGATCGGAACGAAACTCAGTGGGCATGTTCGACTCAGGGCCTTAAAGGTCTGTAAGAATTTTGAAAGAAATCGGCCACTGGGGGGCGAAATTGCGTTTTTCAAGTGCGTAAACGATTGTATATTGC